ATATAATTTACTTATTTAAAAAGCAAGTCTAACTCAACTTATTCAATTTAATAATTCATGTTCTATATTAAACTAAAAATTATTAATGTATAAATTAAATTTATAAATTTTAAAAAATTAAATTTATTTGATATTATATTTCATTCATTTAAATAATTTATAAAATATTTTTATATTTGTATAAAATTGTAATTATCAGTTATTTTAAATTAAATATTGAACAAGAGAATAAGTATTAAAAGCTAACGTTAAAAGAGTTTTTTTTTCATATTTTATTTTTGATAAATAAACAAATATACTTTACTTTTGAAATTATATACAAAACTATTGAAATAATATTTATCATTTCATAACCTAAATATACAAAAATTATCTTAAAATAAATTAAATATAAAATTTTTAAATTTATTTCAAATCCTCAAGTAAATTTATCGATGGAGAATAGTTCAATTATTAGTTGAGTAAAATAAATGAATTATTGTAATTTTTTATACCAAATTTGATTATGATAAATAATTTTTTAAGTAAATTTACTATTCAAGTAAAAATTATTAAACTTCTTGAATTTATTATAGCATGATAGGACGATTCAATGTGAAATAAAAGTCCAAGTAAGGATGACAAAAATACCCGCACTCGTGGATATTTGCGGGTAAAATTCGCTACAGATAATAAATGAATAGATTAATTGGGTACCCGCAGATAATGGGGACGGATAATTTTTTACCCGTTTATAAATGGGGCGGGGGCGGGTATGATGATATTCGTACCCGCGGGTACCCGTTTAATAATATTTCTTAAATATCTTAATTATCTTTGTACCACATAATCCTAAAACTACACTCTCTCATCTTATTTTCTTACAAAAGTGTGGTTGATGAAGTTACCAACATGTGTTAAGCATGTTATAGAATTATGTTGGATGTAATTTGATTAATTTTCTAGCTTTGATTAGACCAATAAGATTTATGTATTTTAAGTTGTTTACTTTCGTTTAGAATTATGAGATTGAGTTATTGTAGCTTTGTGATAAGATTTTAACTTACTTGTGAGATTGATGTATTTTAAGTTATTGATTATCTAGTATTTTTATTATTATTTCAACAAAATTAATGTTAAATATAAGTTCAAAATTAACATTTAATTTTTATTTTTAATATTTCAATGACATTAAATATAAACTTAAAATTATTTGTAATATAATTTTTTTAATTTTTTAAAAAATTTATAAATATCCATGGATATCCGTGGATATCAAAGAAATTCATGACTACCCGTTTAATGGATACCCGCGTGGATGTGGGATGAGAATGGTGTAACGACCCGCCTAGCTGTCACACAACAGAACAACACCACACAAAGTAGAGTATGCATATAAAGGAGTAAATATATATACATATGTCTAGCCTGAGACTCAACAAGTTAGTATCTAAAACTAAGAAAATTGCTACACCGAGTAGCTAGCCCACACCAAAAGTCAGCTCCTGCTATCACTTGTAGTCCTGCTACTACTCTCCAGCCTATCCTTGCTCTGCTCTCATACACAGTATGATCATTGCAGTCCAACCCATATGAAAACAGGCAAGGGTAAGCTAGTGAAAAGGAATCAACATATAGCTATATTTATAAGCAGTTTTCAACTTAACAACAACATCATCATTCTCAACATATTTAGCATACAACACATAACAACAACTTATGCGTCGTCACGCATTTCAACTCGGAGATCACCTAAAACATGAGTGAGTAGTTTAAGTGGCTAGGTCCTACCGAACCGACAACAAAGAAGTACTATGTTAGGATAGAACAGCTGGGTTTTTGCCACTTAAACAAGGAAGTATAGTACTATATCAGGATAGAACAGCTGAGTTTTTGCCACTTAAACAAGGAAGTATAGTACTATGTAAGGATAGAACAACTGGGTTTTAGGCCTACCACGACATTAACTAGCTTAACTAAGCCACCTATGGAATTAGTCCAAATACTACAACCCTCCGATACTCAGTTAGCAACTAAGTTCCCGACTTCGTACTTTACTCGATTGGCCACTTGTAATCGATATAACTCGATCTGACCCCTATATCGTGGTCGCTTTGTACACGTGTGCCTCGACCTTACCCACGCACGGGACCAACTAAGTACTAGAGGAGAACAACACAATGTCCACTCCAAGGGACAACTTCCCAAGGAGGGTTTTAAACAAATTGGGCAGTTTTTGCCACTTAAACAAGGAAGTATAGTACTATGTAAGGATAGAACAACTGGGTTTTAGGCCTACCACGACATTAACTAGCTTAACTAAGCCACCTATGGAATTAGTCCCAATACTACAACCCTCCGATACTCAGTTAGCAACTAAGTTCCCGACCTCGTACTTTACTCGATTGGCCACTTGTAATCGATATTACTCGATCTGACCCCTATATCGTGGTCGCTTTGTACACGTGTGCCTCGACCTTACCCACGCACGGGACCAACTAAGTACTAGAGGAGAACAACACAATGTCCACTCCAAGGGACAACTTCCCAAGGAGGGTTTTAAACAAATTGGGCTCTTTGAGCACCACAGCTTCTCAATCCTCACAATGGGATGAACAAATTAAAAAACATCTCCTCTAGTCCTAGTGATCAACAGCTCATCATCACCGCTTAATCAGCTTATAGTACAGCTCAACTCAACATCTTTAACAGCATAATCAACATACAACACAACTTAACTTAACATCTTTAATAGCATAATCAACATACAACACAACTCAACTTAACATCTTTAACAACATAATCAACATACAACATAACTCAACTTAACATCTTATCATCATATACAAAATTCAATATTTTATGAGTTATAGAATAAAACACTTCCACGCCCAGCGCAATTAAACTCGCGCCCGACCTAAACCCAACCCAAGAGCTCTAAAGCTCTTACACGCCTGACATATCATCATTACGCCTGGCGCAAATAAGAGGCAAAGACTTCCAGGAGTCTCCCAAGCCCGGCGTACCAAACTCGCGCTCGACACAAATAAGGCAGAGATCTCACCAAGGTCTCACACCCGACGCGCTCATTTTGCGCTCGGCGCCACCCTAAGCAAAGACCCCCATGGAGTCTCGACGCCTGGCGAGATCGAATCATGCCCGGCGCCATGTCAGTAACTCAAAATTTTGAGCCATTATCTGATATCACGCTCAGTGCGGTTCTTCCCACGCTCGACGTGATTCATCCAAAAACTTCCATTCCCAGCCTAGCGCCCGATGTGCTTGGACAATGGAGTTCCCTGATGAACACACGCCCGACGCAATTTCTAACAACAACCCTCACAACTTCAAAAATTTCAAACAAAAACCTGTAAATCAACCAGCTCAAACACATGCAATCCATGAAATGAACTACATTTACATCATACAACTCAAAAACAAGCTCTATTTCAACATGTAACCATCAAACGCATCAAAATCACCATTTTCCCCAATTTTTCTGAAACCCCGAAAATGAACGAATTTTCAATCCAACCATTTATCTTCTGAAATCAAGCATCACTTGAGTTCCTAAACTCACTTATGACCAATCCGCACGCAATCTAACTTCCCTTACCTTGAAAAGAAAAATCCAAGCTCCAGGGAAGAGAAAGGAAAGAAGAAGAACAATGAAGTTCGCGCTTCCGACTAGCTCCTCACGTCTCTACTCCACACCTTTAACCACAACAATCACCACAAGGAAGTTTGAGAATTTGAAACCAAGGAAAAGGACGTGAGGAGAAAATGAGAGTTTTGAGGGGAAGGAGGAAAAAAAGAAGCGGGTCTTACAAATGGGACCAATTTTCATCTAGCGGGGCAGGGGCGGGTTTACTATTACCCGCCCCCATGAGGCCCATTGCCATCCCTAAGCCCAAGGCATGTCTTAAAAGCCTTAAAAATAAGGAAAATTCTATGGTACCCACAGGGTACCGGAACAGTCGTTTATTTATTTATATTATAATTACTTATTTTAATTTTTATTTTATATTTTTAATAATTTATCTTTATAAATTTTTAATATCTTTATATTATTTTTATATTTTTAATTTTTATCTTAATATAACATCTATTATAATTAAATAGTTTAATATTAATATTTTGTTAATACGTTTTAACTTTTCTTTGGTGTTAATTTTTTAAATTTAAATATAAATTAGTTTTTCAATTGTATTATTTATTATTTTTCTTTTTTATTTTAATGTTTTTATAATATTATTATAATTTTAAATTTTTAAAATTTTAATTGTGTCATATATAAGTAAAATTTATTATAAAAATTAACCTTTTAATTATTATTATTTAATTATTTTTTTATTAATTTATCTTATAAAAAATTTTAATCTAAAATTTATATTATTTTAAATTTATTTTTTTAAAATTATTTATTCACATAATTTAAAATACTAAAATCCTTTAATTTTCATGGGTATTATAATAGTTCTCTAAAAATAAATATTATTTTTAACATGTAATATCTATCCTGTGTAGATATTTGTCGCAGGTAAGCAGTGTGGGGTGTGCGATAAGGCAGCGCACAGAGAGAGAGAGAGAGAGCAGAAAGAGTGCGAAAATGGCTTACAATCTTTGCTCCTCCCCTTCTTCTCTCTTCCACGACTTTCCCTCCATATCTTCTTCTCGCAAATTCAAACTTGGAACTTTTTCCTCTTCCTTTCTATCCCAATCCAAACCCCTTCTCCATGTCTCCTTGCACGAACCCATTCCCGAAGAGGAGGCAAAATCCTCGAAAAGAAGTTACATATGGGTTAACCCCCGAAGCCCCAGAGCGAAACAACTGGAGAGGAAATCCTACGACGCCAGGTACACTTCCCTCGTCGATGTCGCCCACTCCTTGGACTCTTCCAATCCCTCTCCCGAGGACGTTTCTCTAGTTTTGAAGGCTTTGGGGCCTAGGGTTTTAGAGCAAGACGCTGTTATCATCATTAACAACATGTCCAATTCCAATGTTGCACCCTTGGTTCTCAGTTACTTCCAGCGTAGGATTAGACCCTCCCGGGAGGTCATTCTCTACAACGTCACCCTCAAGGTCTTTAGAAAGTCTAGGGATTTCGACTCTATGGAGAAGCTGTTTGATGATATGCTTAAGAGGCAAGTGAGGCCTGATAATGTCACTTTCTCCACTATAATTAGCTGTGCTAGGATTTGTTCTCTGCCTCATAAGGCCGTGGAGTGGTTTGAGAAGATGCCATCATTCGGCTGTGAGCCTGATGATGTTACCTACTCGGCTATGATTGATGCTTATGGCAGGGCTGGCAATATTGACATGGCTTTGCACTTGTATGATCGTGCTAGGACTGAGAAGTGGCGCCTTGATACCGTTACTTTCTCCACTTTGATTAAGATGTATGGGTTGGCAGGGAACTATGATGGGTGCTTAAATGTCTACCAAGAGATGAAGGTTCTTGGTGTTAAGCCTAATATGGTTATTTATAATACTCTCTTGGATGCCATGGGGAGAGCTAAGAGGCCTTGGCAGGCCAAGAGTATATATACGGAGATGACAAGTAATGGATTTTTCCCCAATTGGGCGACATATGCGTCTCTCTTGCGAGCCTATGGTCGAGGGCGCTACAGCGAAGATGCTCTTGCTGTTTATAAGGAAATGAAGGAAAAGGGACTGGAGATGAACACTCATCTTTATAATACCCTTTTGGCCATGTGTGCTGATCTTGGCCTTGCTGATGAAGCTTTTGAGATTTTTGATGACATGAAGAGTTCTGCAACTTGCCTTTGTGATAGTTGGACTTTCTCGTCCTTGATTACCATATATTCCTGCAGGGGGAATGTTTCGGAGGCTGAAAGAATGTTGAATGAAATGATTGAGTCTGGATTTCAGCCTACTATTTTTGTCCTGACATCGCTTGTTCAGTGCTATGGGAAGGCCAACCGTATTGATGATGTTGTGAAGACATTTGATCAACTGTTGGATTTGGGCATCCGTCCAGATGACCGTTTCTGTGGTTGTCTTCTGAATGTTATGACCCAAACACCAAAAGAAGAGCTTGGCAAGCTAAAAGATTGTGTGGAGAAGGCTAATCCAAAGCTTGGGACCTTGGTAAGGTATTTGGTGGAAGGGATGGAGGAGGATGATGGAGGATTTAGAAAAGAAGCATCTGAACTCTTTGATTCAATTGCTGATGAAGTTAAGAAGCCCTTTTGCAATTCTCTGATTGATCTTTGTGTCAACCTGGATTTGTTGGATAGAGCATGTGAGCTTCTGGACCTAGGGTTGACACTTGAAATATATACGGATATACAGTCCAAGTCTCAAACTCAGTGGTCTCTGCATCTAAAGAGTCTTTCGCTTGGAGCATCGCTGACTGCATTACATGCTTGGATAAATGACTTGTCTAAGGCTTTGGAATCAGGAGAGGATCTTCCACCACTGCTTGGAATCAATACCGGTCATGGGAAGCACAGGTATTCGGACAAAGGATTGGCAAGTGTAGTTGAATCACATTTGTTGGAACTCGATGCTCCATTCCACGAGGCTCCCGATAAGGCTGGCTGGTTTTTGACTACACAGGTAGCAGTCAAGTCATGGCTGGAGTCTAGGGAATTGGTTGCTGCATAATTTCTGATCTTATGGGTTTTAGGTATTCCAACAATGGCTTTTCTCGACTGATGATGTTATTTCAGGGAATGATATGCCATGCAGTTTTTATGCATTTTCCTTTTTCTTTTGAAGAATTTTTTGTATTTTTTGATTCAAATATATAATTGTTTTATTTTAGATGTCTTATAGAGTAAATGAAGAGCTGATCTAATATATATTATCTACTATGGTAGCTACTGGCTAGGTTTCCAGTTGAGTGATATAGGAAATTGTAAATTTCATCTAAATATTTATGTGCACATCTCTTGCCAAATCTTACTTTTTAAGGTGTGATGCAAACCACATAGGGCGTCTACTTTTACAAAGTTACTGCATGCATTGGGAAAATTGAGGCTATTATTGCGAATGAGACGAATTACTGTCTTGTTGGCGCCGTGGCCCAGGAAAATTGTCAAATTCCAATTGAAGGCTGTTAGAAGCATTGATCGAGTAAACAGGCAAGTTGAAGTGATAGTTGGCACTTGGCAAAGACAAGTTACACAAGGTAAAATATGGTCTTCCATATTATATGCGTTGTTACATGTGCTATTTGTTTTATGGCAAGATCGATATGGCGCGTCTACCAAATCCAATTAGAGGGTGAAGACTAGAAAAAAATGCTTAATTGCAAATTTTGCCGCTTATGTTTCAAGATTTTGCCAATTTTATCACTTAATTTTTAAAATTTTGCATGTATATGCCATTATTTAATAGTTAGCATGATGTACTAATCGTTGATGTGAATTAATAACATGACTTATAAATAATGATGAGACACAATGTGTCATGGAAACAGTCAATGTGTTATGTTAATTATTAATTAAAATTGTCACATGATCAACTAACGAGTAACAAAAATGTGCGAAAATTTGAAATTCACTAATAAAATGTGCAAATTCAAAAAGTCGTGACTGCATCACAAAATATGTAATTAACAAAAAAAATGTCCTTCAAACTTGTGAAGTAGATATCAACAAACTTGCATTACCTAGGAGAATAATTGCACAACATGTTAGTTAGGGGTGTAAATAGGCTAGGTTGAATTAGGCTTTGCTAGGCCTAGGCCTAAGCCTGACCTTAGTGAAAAATACATGGCCTGAGCCTGGGTTGTATACATGTTATAGGCCTTTTTAATGGCCTGAATTGTCCTACAAGCATCTTTAAGGGCCAATGTAACACTAAGATAGAAGTAGAAATAAATATGCTATGCTTTATAGAAATGGGTAATCGATCCATGATTTGGATTTTAAGTTGAAACTAATGGTATCATTTCACTCCTAAAAAATGGGTTGATTTGATGAGAAAGAGTTATACCTTAATTATACAAAAATATATATTCTTAAAGTCTAATATGACATTCATGATAATAACTTATTTAAAAACATATTTTGCAATAAGATCTCTAAATAGGACATAAATTAATCTTTCAATGAACTTATAGGCATCATCTTTTATACAAGTCAACATGCTTAATATTTAAAATAATAATAAATGTACAATTTAAATACATTATTATAAATATTTATTTACTTTTATTTAAATAGTTCGGTTTGATTGGCCTAATATGCTTTTTAAATGACCTAGAAGTTAGTTTTTTTTTTAAAAACTAAATAGGCCTTACCAAAAGCCTTGATATATTTTCTAAAAAAGCTTGAGTTAGCCCAGGCTTGATGTAGGCTTGGTCATAGACTTTGTTTGAGCAGGTTGATCTATTTTCATCTCTATAATTAGTTTTCTAATATAATGCAAGGGTTTTTTTTTTTCTAACTTTATTTTCTCTTGTTTTCCCGAAACCTTAGAAGAAAAAAGGGAAAAAGAATTAACGGCAAGGTTAAGGTATTAAGGTTGACCATTTTTTATGGTCAAAATGGTTGACCTTATTTCAATTATGTGGGGGCAGTGAGTGGGATTGAGTTGATTGACTTTTTTTCTGATTAAAATTTGTATTTTTTTGGGAAAAAAAAGTAAAACGAAAATGTTGGGCTTTGGAGCTCGTGCCATCACATTAAGAGTTCAAGTCCCTCGTTGGGGAGTGCATGGCCTCATTGACTTTTTTCCTATGTTTTTTTTATAGAAGTCAATTAAAATGAACGTAATTTGGTGGTTTGCACGTTAATTTTATACAACTCAATTAACCACATACCTATTATAAAGAGTCTTAAGTTCTTCTGACCAAAGCACAATGGGAAACTGTATGGCTTTTCAGTTTCAACCAAAGAAGGAAACCCAAGGTTTTCAGCTCGAAGTAGGAGAAACAGGGTTCAATTCAATGCCACAATGCATATAGACTCTGGTTCTTTTAAACGTTATATACTGGTGTGTAGGGCTGCATAGTGGGGAGGTTTACTGTCTTGTACCATACCTGACACAATCTGTTGAACCTTTGGTACCTCGTAGGACAACTGACAACAGAAATGTGAAAACGAGGAAAGTGAAGATTGTGATGACTAAACTAAGGAACACTTGCAATTGCTGTTAACTGGAGCAGTATAGTTGCTTGCTTTAAGGGGAAATTCTGTATTACAAGGGTGCCATAGCCCTTGACCAAGTATTTAGGTATAGAAGAATCATAATTTTAAGCTTTACCCTAGGCAATGAAAAATAGTGCAACTAGTTATTTATAGTTTTTTTTTAATTTTATAATTTTCTCGAGAATAATTAATTGTATTTTCTCAGGAAATTGGTGATGCTTGGCTGCGCTTGTGCGTATTTGATATTATTGTCTCTTTCCTTTAAACTCTTGCATTCAGATAATAGGTGTAGTAAATGCTGAATTTTGCTCATTTTTTAAACGAAACAATGGGTAGAAAATACTTTCACATTTCAGTTGCTTAAGTGATATTATTGGCAGAATTGATCCAACCTATTTCTCTATATATTACAAGATTGTTTGAAATCAATTTCTGCTTAGTTGTTTTCAGATATAATCTTTAAGGGCTGTAATTGCAATAAACCAGGATTACCACTGGTAGATGTTTTTTTGCTCAACGATGTTATCATTATGATTTTAATATTTACTATTCTGATATGAACCCCATTCGGACTGGTAGGTCTCCTTCATATTCTCCTGTAACTGTATAAGTCTCCAGATCACGCTGGAACCCTTCTCTATGGTCATCTCGGGGTAAACTTTTTTTTTTCTTAGAAAATTAAATCTTTTACCACTTAATGTAGACTATATTTACTTGTTTTTACTAAAGTTCCTCATGTTTAGTGTCCTAGGAGGATTTGACAAACTTGGTGTAAGTTTGGATTACTGTTACAATGGAACCAAACACCCGGTTGCGCATTCCAAAGTATAAAACGGAAAAGCAACATCGATGAATTGAAAAAAAAGTAGGTGCCGTTCACTAGAATGATAACTCAAACACGTCCTAATAAATAATACATCCAACAACCATAAACCATATCATACATCCAAATCTAGAGGAAGATGTTGAACACTTCTGTCTGTACAAAATCAGATTCCCAAACTCCCATTCCCCAGCGGAAATTTATTTCAGGATACTACCTCACCAAATGTTTTGTATATACAGTGAAAAATGAACAAGATGCCATTGATAAATAATTTGTCTTCAACTATTTCCTAATAAAGAATTGTCAGCGCTCTTTCGCCTCCCTGCAGCAATTTTATAAAACTGTCACGGTTGGTCTTAAAAGAGGACTGCACAGACTTGATAGTTATAACTTACAAGCCAACACTACAGAAAGTTGAGTTACAGAACCTTTTAGAGGAGTTTGCGCTTCTGCTTTTCCTGTTATCATCTGACTTTGTTGATGAAGCCTCCTTCTCCCTAGCAGCTGCTTCTCTTTTCATTTTCTTCCACTCTACTTCCATGGCCTTTGTCAGTGCATTGACTTTCTTTATAAGCATCTGAAAAAACAAAATCATCTTAATTTACTTTAATGTGATTATGTGAGAAGGGATGGCGAATAGTTGTTACTGTTACCTTAATTTCTTCATCTTTAGCTTGTAAACTACTGTCTTTAATTTCACAAGACTTCCTCAAATTGATGACCTCTTTTTGGAGCTTATCATATAGAAAACCTGAGACCACATCATCCCTGCCTGAACTGTTTGTTTTCTTGCTTTCGGGGTCTTCATCCATAATAACTGTGGTTTTAATTTCGGCTGCTTCGCCTTCTTCATTGCACCTGTTTAAAGTTATGTCTGTGTTTACCTGCATCTCATTTTCCTTTTCACCATTATCAGCAACTTTACTTCTTGATGCCCATATCCCTTTCTTCAACATATTTTCTGCAGAATTGTATTTTTTGATAGGGCTCCCCAGTTTTAAATTCCCAGCTGCAATATCTATATTGTTTTTAATATTTGGTTGCTGGAGCAAAGAGCTTCCAACCGTAGATGCCCTTGGTTGTGATGTGGATCTCTTTCTCAGTCCACCACTGGTTGTTAGGAAACCTAGTATGTTAGACTTTTCTGCTTTTGGAGATGCATATGACACATTAGAAGTGGTTGGGTAACGTGAGAAATGCTTTAAGCCTTCCTCTAGTGTTTTAAGCCTTAGCTTCAGTTTATCCTGGAGTAAACACCAGATAACATTAGTAATACGTGAAAAATTGATTTAGATGCTTACATGGAGTACAAACAAGTTGGATAATACCTTTAATTGTGACTCTGCTTTAGCAGTTCTCTCCGATATAGTTAGCTTGTCTTTCAATCGTTGAATCTCTGCCTACATATGCAAGGACATCCTTGATGATAGAAATTTCTTGCTCAATGTTTTAGAAGTTTTAGATATAAAATATGCTTGAATTGTCTTTGTCAATTTTTCTTACTATAGTTAGAACAAGAGTATCAACTTCTCTTGATTGGATTCCTAAAACGGGATAAGTATCGGTTTACACTTCACACCCTCTAAAACTGAAATTTTCTCTTTGAATATATGGTTATTGTAGTTATCTGGAGCAAAACTACATATTATATAACTAACAGAAATAGTAGTATTTTGGGCGTGAAAACAGGACCAGATGATCTCCAAAGATTTTTGAGGGAAGATATACCTGCATAATCCTTCTTTCTTCCAGCCATTGCCTGACAGGCATGACCTTATCATTTTCGTCCTTCCACTCATTAGCCACAACATTTGCAATTCTGTTGGCTGAAACTTTTACCCTTGCTAGCTCCCTCTCTAATGTCCTCTTCTCTTCCTGAAAAAAATATGCAAAACCAGGTAACAAGATAGATCAATCAACAAGTCATTATAACTAACAATAGGTTCAGAATGCCAATAACTTTTAAGATATGCCTACTTGCAATTCAGAAATCTGTCGTTGATAATCACGAACAGCATTAGCAGTAGCTCCACTAGCTAAGATGACTTCCTCAAGTTCTTGAATGGTTTGGCTAAGCTTTTCAACTTCCAAAATCTTTTGGCGGTGTTTTTTCTCTAAGATTTTGTTCTCCTCCTGCTTTGGTAGTTGTAAATTTGATGAGTCACTTACACTTCACTAAAGAAACCAAAGATGAAAGCGCAAACATAGAAAGTCATGCCTGGCCGATCTCAATTTGTCTCTTCAAGTCAAAGTTCTGATTTCGAACCTCCTCAACTACTTGAGCCCTCTCTAATGCGCTTTGCAAAATCCTCTCTGCTTCTAGCAACGCTGCCTCTTTGGACTTTGTGAGTCGTTCCAATGTTTTCTTATCTTCTTGAAGTGCTGTGATCTATGATGCCAAATTGGAATGCTACTTGTTAGTATTGTCAGTAAGCAAAATTCATTAATATTTTGTTCTTTCGTTGTAAATACATCCTTGTTGGGAATTGCACCATTTGTACCTCACTCCTATACATTTTTATCTCAGCTTCAAGGGGAGCAATGACACTCTCAGTTGGAGCAAAATCTTCATCCTTTTGATTTGCATGTACCCTTCTAAGTGTTGCTTCGGCAGCATATTGTGCAGCCAATGCTTCTTTCTTTTCATCAGTCAGTTTCTTGATTTCTAGATTCTACATATGAATAGATTTTGAAAAACATGCATTTTAGAGTATTGTTGGACATGTTCCCAACTTCCAAGAAATACTAGTACCAGATCAGTGCACCTTTTGTTGAAGATGATTCTCTGTAACTCTAAGTCTTTCGTCCATTTTACTGACTCCATTTCTCAACTTGAAGTGAAGAAGGAGAATTACAACAAACATTAGCATTGACTAGGGAAATTTTATATACTGTCATTTAATGCAACTAAATACTTCTTCCGTTTTTATTTATAAAATCTAACTTAGAATAATTGTTTGTGTGTTTGTTTTTTTGTTTTTTTGTTTTTTTATATAAGACTCAATTTATAATGTTTGATATATTAATTATTTTAGACAAAAAAAACCAATTAAAACATGTTCACTTAATTTGTTGGAATACATTAATTATAAACCCTTTTAAAGACATGCATTCTAATTAGTTAAAAGAATAAACAATATTATGAGAGAGAAGTAATATATAACATGCACCTTAATTGGGTACAAGTGAGGTGAATATTAATTAAGAGAGAAAAGTAGTACAAGGGTAATTGTGGAAAAAAATTATAAAAATAAGACAATTTATTGTTATCAATTATATTGGTTGTTTTTCTTAATTTTGGTGATTAGGTATTTGAATCTTATACTCCATTTAAGAACAGAGGGAATATATAATTGCATAGTTTTCTGTGGTGACATGCATGCCATAATGGTTCTAAGGCACCAAGCTTCTTGTGATATTATGCCATGTGCATTATTTTAGAAAATCAGTTCTCCGTCTTGAATTCCAAGATAAAGTTCTAGGTGGGTGGTCTGTATCATAGGGAGAGTTTCTATAACTGCTTTCAAAAGAAGTACCTCTTCTATGGCCTTATCCTTCAGAGCTTCAGTTGTCCTTAAGGCTTTGATTTCACCCTGACAAGTCGCTAGTTCCTTGACTTTTTCTGCATCGATGATCAAATTTAGTTATTACAAGGTCTATAGATGAACCACTGATGTGAAGATACTAGAACTCAACGCTCTCAAACTGTATTCAACTTATTCATTTTGGTGTGCAGAAAGAACACTATGGTTTCTTGAGAACAAGGTATTATACACAATCTATGAAAAGAAAATATATCAATATAACAAACAGACAATAGGAATCAAACAATGATACGACCTGATCGAAACTAACCAAAACCTGGAACCACTTGCTAGCCAAATAGCACAATTCATTCAAGAGGATCCCACAAAATTTCAATTTCTATAAAACCAAGTAAGAACATCAATGCCATTGGTGTAGTGTTTAACACCTGTTCAACACTCTGGAAAGAAAGAAGGGAACTAAAAGCCAAGGGAGTAGAGTAATGGTGAAACAGAAACAGATTGAAGAAGAAAATAGAATAATAAGTAATAACCTTTGAGTTGGTTTTGCAAACGATCAATCTCCAACACCACAGGGTCTGGTTGGACAATTGGAAACTCTTCTCCATACTGCCCTTCACAGCTCCCCATTTCTCCTTTTTGGCGCTGAGAAATTTCACACCGATAGATTACCTAACAGATGGGAGGATTTAGTGGCTTATATCCACACAATGCTTTGGTTTGGTTCCTTTTTAGGTGCTACTAAATGACAAAGTAGGCTGAGTCCAAAAACATCAACAACAAATGGAGGCTCTCATGAAAACATATATAATAATTAGAGAGATGTTCAGAGGCAGAAAATGAGAGATTGTATTCGTTTCGTATAAGGCATTGACCGCAAAGAGAGGTATGAAAAGACCTTCCCCTTTGGTGAAGCAAACTACACAAATGAAATGCACAACAGTAACAAGCCGGCCAAGCCGGCTACTCCTCAAATTCTACCTTTATACTGGACTATATAACGTGTCACTTTGCCCTGTTATTTTTCCTTTTATATCTTTAAATTCTAGTCTTTGCTGTTACGATTGTAAAGTAACGGCCTTTATTCTTTATCAGATCCTGTTAGGTATGATATAAGGGAAATGGATAAAGGATATTCCGTGCCGTTGAACCCTTAGAGGAAACTAAACAAATGTCTTAAACAACTGACTTCATTGGTCAATTTAACCCCTAACCAAACCACCCTTGAACTGTATCCCACCAGAGGTAAAACAAATAAGCATAATTAATTTTACTTGATTTAAGTATTTAACAAATAAGGTTAATCATATAAGTTACTTTTGGTTTCTGAAAACAATAATAACAATAATTTTGCCCCACCTAATACTTCTTTTCATTGCGCCGGGGAACAATAAAGTTCAGGAACAATCATATTGCATGGTAACTTAATATTGCATTACTGCATTATTGGTTGGTGACAGTTTGTAAAACTTTCTTTCAATTTGCTGATTCCATTTGTTTCAACGTTAATTAGTGTTGAGATATACATGATCCTTACTTACCTACCAATCAGGGTTTAGGATAAATGTAAAGTGGGCATAATTACAAGGCTGATTGATTGAGGATAGATATCATTTAACTCTTGAAAGGGTAAGATTATTATTTACGTTCTTGATTTGATGCGAATTTCTTTTAGCAAACTCACTATTTCATTCATTTTTTTTATGACAAAGAAACTGGACTATTCACCAAATTTAACTCTTTGAAGTGGTCATAATCTATCTGTGTCGATAGGAATATATCACCTTGTACTATTGAATTGCTTAACTATAAAAAAATGTTTTGTAATCATTTCTCTTTTACTTGGTGGAAGTCACTCGGATAAGACTGCGACTATAACAAACAAAATGAGGTGCACTCATGATCACGATCAAATTTGAAAACGAAAAAGTAAAGTGACTTCGAAGAACAAATAAATTTGGATAAATTGTCAGAAAACTTGTGATCTTAGCTTAAAAGTATAATATACATATTAAATGTTCATTGTTCACAGTTCCAGCTGTCTGTGTACACAAGGCCAAAGCCAAATGGCAATCCTTGTTGGTACGACTACGTAGGCCTAGTTTTATTTTGATACACGACAAAAGGAAGGGTTTACCAACAACACAAACGTATGAGGAGGCAATGTACAAAGCCATCAAAAGAGTTTTCTGATGAAGTATGATTAAACTTGATGATTTCATAATAGAATTTTGCTATTACTAACCGCTGTTTGATAGTGATGTTATGAAAGTGGGATCAAGCTAAGCTAGCTTCAGGTGGTCCTCTTTGTGGTGTATATTTTATGTTGGTTTGAGTTGGTAGATTTCTAAAAGTATGATGTTCCAAACTAACCCTAAAAATAAAAACAAAAAATTAAATTTATATGTAAGTATTTTATACATGGTGGTGGCGACGTGGCGTAGGCTTGGGTCCTCTACGTGTAGGTCAACTGGAAGGTTGAAATGCACGCGTATATAGATAGGATTTATAGAATATGTTATGGCCTAATTGCTTAGACTAATTATTCTCAAATACAACAAACAGGTTTTGTTTTTTGTTTTTATTTTACTAAATAATTTATATATGTGTGTTTATTTTTCTATATATGTTCCATGCGACTAAAAATAGTTTAGGATTAGAGACAAAAACCCTTTAAATATTTAATAATTTGACGTTTCACCCAATTTGCTTACAATCTTTCTTCATTGTCTTTTAAAATGCGTGTCTAACAGCAATTGACTAACCAAGTAGCGAACGCATAATTTTATGAATGAAGACAATAATTTTACATAATACAGAAAAGGGTAAAGATTTACATACTGTATAATGCAATATGAAGGATTTAATAGGATTGATTCAGGATGATAAATAACAGAAGCTTCTAGAGTTCTATGTTTTATGTCCTTATCCATTAATTATTATGCCAAGATATCTTGAACAACCCTACGGTGGTTATAGGGATTCGAGAAGTAAGTACTTCACATTTTCCTTGTATACATTATTATTACCTAAAATGTCATACTGGTCCAACTAAATGACTTGAGTCCGCCTTATATCATAGAAGTGTAGAACTAGCATAAAATTTTACTCAATAATATAAAAATTAAATAAAAATGATCAAAATCTTATGTTTTTGCAAAGTGAAGTTAAGCGTGGGGGAAATCAGAGGACTATTTTCCAATTATTAAATCTTATTGCATTCCCAATTTAAAATTTGTTTTACTCAATAAAATTTCTTGCACAAGCCATTGGGCTCCATTGTTGATTTAACAGATCAAACCAGCAGTGAGAGTCCAAGTTGAGCCCATTACTATTTTTTAAGCAACAATAATTGCATATGGAATTGCCCATTCAGCGTGATGTAATGGATAACGATACTGAATCCAAGGTTCCTCAAACGGACTCAAATGAGAAACTGTTTGATGGACTTTAAAAAAAAATTCAGTCCAAAAATTCAATGTCCCGCAATAGCCTCAAATTATGTGTGTTTGAAACTAAATGCTGAATGTAGATCATTATTCTCTCTTCATATCCAATAAAAATTACAATGAGCAACTTCTCCATCATTGATGTGATTTTTACTTAAATATAAATTATAGATGTGCATCCAAACATGTGGGTTAAAACTTGCTTTTTGAAGAAGGTAAAGATTTTATTTTATTTTTATTGACTTTAGCTTGTTTTGTCATCTCTTTCATGACATTGAAATTTACCTCTTATCTCAAAGTGAGTTACAAGTGTCATCTCCAAATGGGATTGAATGTAACCCCTTACCTCAAAGTGAGCGGTTTACATGTTCTGAATAATAAGTCATCAACCTAGTGGTTACTTTGTTGAAGTTCAATTAATTTATTAAAAAAATATGTCATTTTAAACAACTATATTGCTGCTTATCTTGAAAGGATTCCTGTGTTGAGCAAATTAACTATTGTTTGCACTTCCATTTACGGAAATTCTGCAATGACAAGTGCTACTTCAAATTCAGCTTTTCAGGACATCAAACTGATGTTAAAATCGGAAACCAGACTCCCAAAACTCAGTTCGATATGCTTTTAAATTTTTTTGGGTTCCAAAAAAATTGTGGAAATCTCATTCATTAAATAATTCTTTTATCAGTTTTCTTTCATTAAATAATGATGTCAAGGCTAGAGACCTAGAGTAGGCCACGTGGGAGGAGACAGTGTCCAAGTGTGGTTTAAAGAAGCCTTAAATCCAAAGCAAGAATAAGTTTAGCCCACAGGACTCTAAAATTTCAAATGTTGATTGATTAATTCATGTTTCCTTGTCTTGTTCATACTCATCACGGCATCACCATAAAGAAGAATAAGAATCTGTGCGTTTCCTGTGCACTTGGTCTTCGTTCCATATTTCCAATCGAAACTCGGCATTTCCAATTACAAAATGAACACTACAATCGGTCTTAATTTCGAGGATGTTGACAAAGTATCTATACCAAAAACTTTTTGTTTCCACAATTACTGACATGCCCCTCATCATAAGTCTAAGAAATTTTATATAGGTTAAAGCATCTCATTATTGAATATTGTGCTAAAATGTAAAGAACTATAGTGCCAAAAATATTTACCATGACCACTTATTTTATTTGTGAGAGGAAAATTTAAGAAACATTTTTGCTTTTAGAAGAATAAGTGGCAGATGGGACAAGCAAGGTCTCGGAATCATTGTGACCATCATTTCCAATAGAGAATCTCTTCAGAGTATAAAAATCAAACTCGTTAATGGGTTGGAGATACAACCATACATTTATTCTCTCTCTCTCTCCCTTTGGATTTATTGCATTCATTCAAGGGGCCATGGATGTACCAAAAATGGTTGTGCAGTATAGATACCAAATCACCATAGCAATAGCATTTTCACTAGCCTTTTCCTTGCTATTATATGCAGCACCACGATTTATGACAATTCTGGCGTATTTTTGGCCTTTGTTTGCTTCCACTACCGTGTTCTTGGTTGCAATAATAGCTTTTGGAGGGGTTTCGAAATTCTCAGCTGAAGGTAATGGACATGGTGAGAATGCTGGTGAAGGGCTCTTGGATTATGTAACAGGCATGCCAGAACACACTGAGGAGGCTCGAAACTTCTAAGTGCGTGAAGGGTATTCAAATTTAGAGCTTTGTTTTCATAAGGTAGAATGCTTTTATGTCCAAAACAATGATCAATGGTATCCAGATTCCTGCCCAAATGGCAATTGTATATCAATCCTGTACAATGAATCAGCAGTATGTATGAATAAAAAAGTATAAACTTCTGGAAATGATTGCTGTCTTTATTTCGTAAGTCATGTCTCAAATAGTTATTCTCAACTAACATTAACTTTCTTGTTATTATTAGCATTGGAAGTTGGGAAATGATAGATTTTCTGGAGAACTTCCCTTACTTTGAAACAGTTTTTTTTTTTTTTTTTTTTTTTTTTTTTTTTTTTTTTTTTTTAAATTTTTGGCTTAATTACGTTTTTATCCCTAATTGTGCAATTTTAATCCTCAAAATTTTAATTGGATAATTTTAGTCCTTAAAAGATTGTAATTGTGCGATTTTGGTCTTTCAATCTTTAATTGAATAATTTTAGTCTCTTAAATATCATAATTATGCAATTTTAGTCTCTCCCATTAAAAATTTAATAATTTTAATATATATATACAATATTTTAAAATTATACAATTATTTATCTATTTAAGTTAACGCATATTATAATTTTCTTCAATACATCAAATTATATATATTTATTATTAATAAATAAATAAAATTTATATATTATTATTTTTATAATATTACTGATAAATTAATATCAATAATATTATTAATGTATTTATAGATAAACTAATAAT